GAAAATAGTTTGTTTCCTGTCAAGAGCATACTGTGCACAAAACTCATGTTGATAAAATTTTCTGTTACTCTGTTTGTTTGGTAAGAGCCTTAATTTATGGTGTTACAGATTGTTTCCTTTGGTAGCTCATGCATGCATTAAAATGATCAGCTTTTATGTTTCTCTTAAAGTTTATAGAAGACAAATAGCTATAGGAAGGTCTTTGTACACAGGCTTTTCTGCAGCCTTGGTAACTCCTTGCTGCATTGCTCAGGACCCACCATGGCAATCACAGAAAAGTATTAGACTAAATGACTGAATTTCTTTCCTCTAAAGGTGCTCACTTCTCTTCTCAACATATTTAAAGTTTATTTCTAGTTAGGAGACATTACCATATCAGGAATGCTATTAATATCTGAGCTGCTCAAACCACCATTATTGTTAGTATTTCCCATTAGAGGAATGGAGGTAGCCAATCCCAACAATGCAGCCAGAGCCAAATGCAATCAATTAGACATAGAAATTAAACTTTTATGTCCTGAGTCCTTATCCTTGCTCCTTAAGGGCTCTGTTTGGACCTAAGAAGTCAGTGAAACAAGAAACCTTGGTCCGAATGTATTGTGGCCTATGAACAGCCCACACAGACAGCTCCCAGGTGAAAGGGACAGGGCTGCTACTGCCTATTGCTGCAAAGAGCACCTTCCTTCTCCTCTCATCCCTGCTGAGTGTGGGAGATGCTGTTTAGCACAGGCATCTTAGAAAATGATGCTGCAGGCTGATTTACTGGAGAGCGAAGCCTCTTCATGCTGTTCACCCTCATCAGTTTTTATTTTAAACAGATCTTGTTATGTTAGCCTCGCAGCTCTCAAACTCCAGCTTAATTGAACTGGCTGAAATAATACTTACTTTCTGTTCACTGTATTTTCTTTCTTCTCTTCTCCTACGTGGAGATAAAGTTGGATCCCATACTCACGTATGCAGTTCTTCCTCCCTCACACAGCTGTTGCGCATCCTTTCAGAAGGCTATTAGATGCCAACTTAATGTTAAAAAGAAGTTATTTAGCAATTGTCTATAATGACGTCACGGTCTCAAAACATCTATAAAGGTAGATAAATGTAATTTACTTGTCTACAAGTATGGCAAACTGAAGCTCAAGAGTAACAATATTTAATGTGTTTCTGGTCCAGCCTGCTCTGATGGGGTTTTCTCTAGCTGTTGAAGGGGATGATATTACAATGGTTTTTATTTGTAATCACAAAAATATTCTATTCTATTCTATTCTATTCTATTCTATTCCATTCCTGGGGTAGTTACATCAAGTTACAACCAGACTTCAAACAGGATTATAGGCAGTGTGTGGGGAATCTTATTTTAGCTTGTCCTTGCTGTCAAACTGAGTTGTCACCATGATATTTTATGAAAAATCCTTTGCTAGGATTTTTCTCTCCTGGGAAGCTGAGGAGCCTCAGGAGAGAAATGTAATCAGTAACTGTCTGCTGCTGTGGAATGCAACAGGTGCATCTGAGATTGGGGCATGTTGGTTGTTTCTAATTAATGGCCAATCACAGTCAGCTGGCTCGGACTGTTGGGGAGTCAGGAGCCTTTGTTATGCATTCCATTCTTGTTCTTTCTAGCCTTCTGATGAATCCTTTTCTCTCTATTCTTTTAGTATAGTTTTTAATGTATCATTTTAATATAATATATATCATAATATAATAAACCAGCCTTCTGAAACATGGAGTCGAGATTCTCGTCTCTCCACTCATCCCGGGAGCACCCCACAAAGCATTCACCACGCTGAATTCAAAGCCTTCAGTGAGATACTGTTCATCCTCTGCAGGGGAAACTCTCCCCTGAGCATTAGAGAGCTAGGAGAGGAAACACCCTAAACCCCTCCTCCCAAACACACACTCTATCCCCTAGTGTTCAAAGCTTCTGTATGTCTTTATTCTAATGTATATCAAGGCTTTTAACTAGTAACAATACACAAGGTTGTCACATAAATTAATTAGCCTTCTGGGAGACCTGCATAGGTGCTTTTGATGCAGTAGAAGCAAATTTACAATAGCTTATTGCTAATATAAGAAAAGTGATGATGTTTTCTGTTAACTTGGTGGCAACTAACATGTACTGTATTAATTTACTTCTTAGCTTAGGATGTTTGTAAACTTAGTAGTAAGGATATTTTAATAGAAGAATATTAGTAGGCCAGAGCATATTAGCATTTAATCAACAATAACATTAATATTTCTATATCTGTCATATAGGAATATAAAAGGATAAAGCTAACTCCCAGAATAAAGTGTACTTTGCAGCATTGACTGCCAGATACTAACAGCTAGATTAGTTTGATGGATTAAGGTAATGAAAGAGTATGTTATTATCTTGGGGATTAGTTGCCAAAAATAAGATTCTGGGGAATCAGTATTTTTGGCCATTGTTCCCACTCAACCAGGTCCTCTGTCTGGAGCTACACAGTATAGATTTTCTTTCTTGGAGCACTTAGCTGTTTTTCCCTAATACAGTTGGTTGCATTTTTTTTTTTTTTTACTCTTTTTTTTTTTTTTCTTTTTTTTTTTTTTTTTTTTTTTTTTTTTTTTTTTTTTTTTTTTTTTTTTTTAATATGCAAGCAGACAATGTTTTCTATAACTTTATTGAGACTGTTAGCATCAGAAAAAGAGTAAGCAATATATCCTGGGAATTTGCCATGTAGCTCTTAAAAATGGTCTTTTCAGAGAGGACGTACGAATGGAAAATGGAATGAAAATTCTGCAGCCAGAAAGGGGAGGCCAATGTCACCAAATTTGGGATGGATCCTGCAGGCTGTGTCCCCTGTGAGGGTGGTGTGGGGCAGAGGGTCAGGTTTGGACCTCTCAGACCTCTTACCTGCCTGAAGGCAGTTCTTCCAGCTCCTCCCATCCAGCCATTTTGCCCGCTGTGGCTATGACTTTGTAGTTTCTATTAGAGGATGGTGGCTGCTGTTCACATTCATAAGGTGGAATTTCTGGTGGCAGGCATTTGTCTTACCATCAGCCCAGATTTCTTTAATCAGCTTATTTGTTTTTAATATGAAAACTTGCTGGTCTCTTCATGCTACAACTAATGTCATATCTAGGGGGAAGTTATGTACTAGACTTTGCACTGAACAACTGCCCTACCACAACTGAAATGTGAGCTCCTCTGTCTGAGATGCACCCTCTGGAGTTGTCATCTGCTCCTCTGCTGAGCTAATTCACCTAAATAACAGAAGAATAGCCCTGAACAGGTAGTAAACACAAACCAGTGTGACAGTAGGACAGTGGAGGAGCCAAGATGCCCTGGCAGCTGTAAGAGGAGGTACAATTGGAGACAGGACCTTTTCAGTGGCGGCTACTGCAGATCCACTCATCCCCAACGATATAACATGACCTTCACATCACTTTCTATGCAGTGCTTGGCTGAAGTGGGGACATGTTATTCTCTTCTCCTGGCAGGGAAGAGAGGGCTTCCCATGGGCTGAAGGAACCACCTTTTCAGTTTACTCAGCGTAGAAATTTTTGAAGCCACGTGAACCTGAGTGTGGCTGGCCCTAGGGCTACTTAGTAAACACTTAGCTGTCAGCATGTGTCACTGGATTCAAAGCCAGACAGAAATCACTCCATCTATATATGTAAGCACTCAGAGAGCTGTCAGAAAAGATTAATCTTCATTTGTTACCTGCCTAGATATTATGTTTTCAGGCCTTCTTGAAAGACTGTCATGAATTAAAAAGAAAAACACCAAAGAACCCACAGGGTTAAATTATCATGTTTCCCTTCCCTCTTGCTTGTGGGGAAGAGGTGGAATGGGCTTTGTGAGTGAAAGCCCAGAGACAGTCAATAGCAAGGAAACCTGCATAGAAAATAGTGTGCACCCCTCAAGTGTGTGTGGGGCACAGCCCCAAGGCAGTTGTGCTGACAGGCAAATCAAGTACTCAGAGAACGCTCTGGTAGCCTTTGGTGACTGTGTCAGCCACTTCTTTTATTGACACTCCAGCAAACTGTCTCCAAACCACTAGCCACATTTACAGCCCTTCATAAATGAACATAACAGATTATTTGAATTTGAACTGTGGGTGGTTTTCAGGTCAGAACCATTCTGGTACTTTTGTTCTATCTCTTGTTTTGCATTTAAAACACAACTTGTTTTGGGCTTTGCTTGGTGTAGTAGCAACTATCACAAGATGAAGCCTATTCTCACCTCTGTCTGAAAGACTGTTCATTCACAGTGGAGAATTCCCTAAGTTTGGGGACTCACCTGCTGGTGGGTGTACCAAGTCTGGCTGGGTGCTGTGCTTTGGACTGGGGACTAAAGAAGTTGATAACTCACGAGTAGTGGCTACTGCTAAACTCCCTTCATGGTGCAAAGGTCTTTTCTCTTTGTCATTCTGTCCCCACAGCTGTGAGTGGGCAAGAAGCTGGGAGATGCACAGCTGGGACAGCTGACCCCACCTGGCCAAAGGATATCCATACGTATTGTGTCATGGTCAGCAGCAAAAGCTCAGGGAAGAAGAGGAAGGGAATAACTGTGGTGACAAGTAACCGTCATGCATGCTGAGGCCATGCTTTCCAGGAATTGGATAAATGTCTACCTGCCAATGGGAAATAGTGAATTAATCCTTACTTTGCTTTCTTTTTATGCTCAGATTTTGCTTTCCCTATAAAACTGATTTTAGCTTGCTCCACAAATTTGTGGGTTGCAGATGACCCAGCACACTAGGTCAAGAAAATTCCGAGCTAGATTGGCTGGGACTGCATGAATCAGACTCAGTGGATAATAAATCTTTTCCTCTTTTTAGGAAAATACTTTGGGTGTGCCTTTAGACAAAAACTGAATTGAACATTTAACACAGACTGTAAATACTATAGCAGGGAGTCATTCAGAGAGCGCTCTGGGTTAGAGATGAGAGAGATTGACCATTGAAAATATTTAACTCATCTGCACTGTACCATGTGGTTGTTGGTTTCAGTGTTTACCTCCTTTAAGTAATGAGTCTTTGAAGTATCTTTATTTCGTCTTTATTCTTCAGTCAAACAATATCATCACTGATTGAAGAACGAGGTTACTGGTTGAAATACAAGTGCAGTGTGAGACAAATATGGAAGATAACACTTTGCCAATAAATTAATACAGAATAATTGTATTTGCATAGTTCAGAAGTGAAAAGTAGGAGGCAGCAGTGCGCACGTGCTGTGAACTGACACACACCACCACAAAACCCAAGTTCCTAGGCAAACTCTTGCAGCTGCAAAGAAAACAAACCAAACCAAAAATACCCCAAACTTTAGAGAGCACTAACTATTAAAAACCAGGCAGAAAAGGAACTAATAAGCATTTTTTTCTTTTTTTTTTTTTTTTTTTTTCCTTAACAGACCATGCTGCAGAGGAGTGTTTTCTCCACAGACAGAGATGCTTTTAGATAATCTGCCTTGGCATCCCATAGCCTGTCATGCCCGACTGTGATGCTCCTTTGTTGCTGCCCATCTGAAGGCCTATTACGTTCTGTCCCTGCCGAAGCTGCTCTTCTGAAAATCCTCGTCGATTTTGCTGTGCTTTCCTGTCCAGGTACACACAAAAAAGCAACATACATACATATCATCATTCTGTGTAGGATCATGAAATAACACAGGGATTATGACCATGAAAATCAGTCTGAAATTGGCTCATATCCTTTGTAATACATTAAGTCATTTGCCCCATCCCATGTGCTGGACAATACTGGCTGGGCTAATTGCTTTCCTGCAGATAGAAGTAATGCTCTAGTCAAACCTACAGTACTTTACACTTTTACTGTCCCCGCTATTGCAGAACCCCAAGGGACTTCCCCAGAAGCTGTGACAGGTAAACTATTCATGAAGTGTTATATATAAAACACAAAATAGTGTTAATTTGTGTTGAGCCCTATAGCTCTTAACAGCTGTAGTCCATGGGATCTGATCCATGAGACACTTACCTGTGCTGCACGACAAGTTGATATCCATCTAGAGCAACAGTAAAAACTGGAGTAATTTCAGTCAGTGGAGTAAATAAAAGCTGAGTGTACCCAGGGCAGCAGTGGGTCAGAGAAGGGACTTGATCATATTTGCAGAGGGGATACTGGTTGTCAGCAGGACAACCTTTGCCTTGTTGCCATTTCCAGATCTCTCGCCTCCTAAGCAATAGGCTTTGCCCTTTGCACCTGTGTCTTAACTGTATGACAGTTCTTTATCTTCTGTCAAAACATACTGACCACTTTTGTCCAGTGTCCCTGGTCTCAAAAGCCCTTTGGATCAATGAATCTTTGTTGGAACATAAAAGAAGCCTTTTTCTCTCTGAAAATAGCATTGAAGGCCAAAGTGGCAGCTAAGAAGAAGGAGAAAAGTTTGCACTCTGCTGCCTTGCAAGAAACTGTTCATCTTGGATCATCTTTCATTTCTAATAGATGGGGAAAACAAGCAATTTGCAATGGAGAAGGATCAGCCTGTTGTTATCAAATGAACCATATGAATTGGCAGAGTCCCAGATTGAGGGAGGCTTTCCATCTACCAGACCCTACTCCCACGTGGGTAGAATCTATTTCCCTGCTGTGTCTGTCCTGTGATTAGGTTACAGGTTACGCAGCAATATGGCATTGAGTTACAGTTCCCCTCTTCTTCCCCACCCCTTCACTAGATGAGAATACTAGGTTAGGTACCTGCTGTGATTGAAAACCGTCAACATGACCCTCTCTTGTGAGAATCAGATCCTGCACTGTGCTGACAACCCTGGCTCAACTCCAAAAAAGCACTTAAACCCTCTGCTAGGCTCAGGGTGCTCAGGAAATTGTGGGAGACGAACTCACGTCCACGTGAAAGCCCAGCAAAGTGGAAGGGGGAGAAAGATCCACAGGACACCAGGACTGACCAGTCATTTTCCAGAATGAGTCCTCAAGTGGTGAAGTATAGACCAGTAAGAGGGCTTATAGAGACCCACCACAGGCTCTCAGATCCCACAGCTCTTGCCAGAAAAAACTCTGTTTTGGGGGAGGCACACAGGACTGTGATGCCTCAGAAAGCAGACCTCTCTCACTGCTGCTTAATTTCTTTTCCAGAATACTTACACAGGCAGCAAACTACTGCCAGGATCTCCATGAGAGGATGTTTTTAGAACAACTCCTGTTACCTAATTGAATCTCAGGTTCACTGTGTCTGCCTCTATTTTAATTTAAAAAACAGGAAAGTATTGTACTGTTCTTTCCTCTTTCCTCCTAGAATTTTTTGCTATGCTGATGAGTATTTCCACAGAAAGTCAAAAGTAATTAAACACAGAAAAAAATGAGAACTGCAAAGAAGAAATAAAAGGAGATACTAAAGAATAGCCTGGATAGGCTAATAAAAGTTGATTACATATATGGCTTGGATCATATAGTGTTATTTTTACCATCACAAGCCCCACATTGAGTGTATGATGGTCTTACAGATAACATGTATGAGATTTGTTTTTAGATGAGTGGAAATGGCCTTAACTGAGACTAAGAAAAGAGACGAAGGCAAGTCTACTCACCTGCCATGTCTCATACTATGTCAAGTTCTGTTTGGCCTGTCCAGTGTCACTCTTACCTAAAACTGTGCCCACCAGATCTGTCAAATTTTTGTGCCAACTTTACACTAGTGCTTGTGTTTGCCAAGCCACAGAATAACAAACAGCTATGGAAGTCCATGAATCTTGCTATGTAAGGACAGGGACATCAGTCTGATGGCACTGGGAATGTGAAACACTGGCAATGGAAAGTTAAATGGCTTAGGGTAAGTGCGGCATTACCCTAATCGCTGTCAATCCCTGCACAGATACTCTTATGCCATTTGATACTGGTCTCTCAATTCAGCTTAAGGTGATTAAGAACCACCCTGAAAGCCCTGAATTATGAGTAACACTGGGTGGCAGTGAGGGGGTTTGGTCTGCCTGAAGGGATAGGGAAGCTACTCAGGAAACAGCTCCTGACTGGCAACATGCCGTAACACTGGCTTTCCTTAAGGCAGCGACTGTAAGATGGTATTAAGGTATATCACAGGGACTGCAATGGATATGGGTTGGCTATCCAAGTAGTATGGGTTGGACAGACAGCTAGAAGAGAAGAGAGGTGATCATATCTTCATCCATGTCAACAAAAACTGTTCCCACCCACAATTAAGAGTCTAGATGAAAATTAATTTTTCCATGTGGGACTTTGTTTTAGTTACATAAAACAAATAAGCCTGTCTGGGTCATAGTGATTTCATGTCTGGTTTATATTAAAGAATGTAATTGGATTTTAAATCAATTTTAAACCTAATTATATTCTGTAAATATAAATCTATTTGTGCAGGGTATTAAGTTAATGTAACTTGATTTCATAAAAACAATGCATAGGAGTTTGCATTTATTCACCTAAAATTCAAATCTCAGATTCAGTTTAACCAGCTCAGGGTTTAAGACAAACAAAGTGAAGTTTGCTTTATTTTTGCTGAGCCTCACCTAGACATCAGAAAATTCAAGCAAAGAAAAGACAAGCAGTCAACTCTTTTTGCTAACCTGCCTTCGACATTTCTGTGTAAGAGATACTCTTGGATGGCAGAAACTTATGTCAATAATATGCCTGTGGGGCAGGAGAGTAACTGCAGGAGGATTTCCTTTTCTTCCTGTCCCTCCCTAGCCAAAATAAATGGAATTTCAGAACAAATAAACAGCTTTGCCAAGACAGAGAATTCTTCACAGATAAGCAGTGCTTCCCAAGAATAAAGAAGCCTAAGAAATTAAATAATTTTTGGTTTGATGAAAAAAGTAAAGAGACTTCATGCCTTCTCTTTGCTTACTGAAGGGGTTGCTGCTTGGGGGTTCACAGACATCCTTAACAGCCTTGCCTTCCTTAGTCTTTCTGTCTGCTATCTGATGTGAGAGAGCAAACCTGCTGACAAATATACACTTTTCCTGCTTCCCTTCTCTAGCCTCCAGAGAAAAACCTCCCTATTACAAGGAAACTTGGGAAATACTCTTCCCTTCCTTTCCCAATAAATTTCCTTAAAGCCTAAAGGCAGATGATATTACCAGCTTCCCAGGGAAGACAGCTCTGAGCAGCTGAGCTCTGGACTTTACCTGTGGAACCAGGACGGATCTCCTTTGTAGCAGCCGTCATCCTTGGTGACCGCCAAACTGCCCAAAGCCATTAAGGTTCTCTGCACTGCTGCCATGTCCTTCCCTAGAAAGCCAGACAGTGACATTAACGTAGGAAATCCTTGCTCAACAAATAGCTTGGCACAGTGAAAACCAGTTTTATGTGATGTATTAACTAACTCCCCCAGGTCCCTGAAGATATGTGTTAATAGAATTATAAATGCTATTTTACCATTGCTGAAATGAAAGTACTGACATACAAGAGGTTATTAAAGTCAACAAAGGGATGGAGTTAAAGCAAAACTTAATTTTTCAGGCATTTCCAGGTTTCCAGGCCTTTGATTATTTTCATGCCTTCCTCCATACCATTTTAAGTCTATAGAATCCCTTTGACAAAATTTTCTCCTAAGGAAAGATTATTTTGGTATGCAAATAATGGTAATATACTCAGTAAAATGTGGCTGAAGGAGAAGATTGTGTTAAATAACAGTGCTGAGTCTCAGTTTATTCAGAGTCAGTTTAATCCCTGTGCTAACAGAGCTCACAGCATTCTGGGAGCTCCTGTGCAGATAAATTCTATCAGTCCTTCCCAAATTAATCATCAAAGCACCTTTCTAAACATTCCTACATACTATGATGCTATTCAGTTTCATACCTTTAATTTCTCCCATTTGGTCCACTATTTTTCCATGTTCTCCCTATGCTATTTTACTTCATTCCTCAGTTCAGAAAGTCAGGGCTTGTCTCAGCTTTAGCCAAATAGAAGTTACATAACTCATGACCCAATCCAGACATGCTACATTTACCTCTAGCAAAAATAAGTTGCAGCAGGTATTTCCAATTGTGTGAGGTAGTAAATTATTGGAAATCTGCCTTTTGCTTCTCCCTTACGAAATCCTTCCATAAGCATTTCTATTACTCCCCTTGCCTCTTTCATTCCAGTTCTTCCTCTTTCCTAAAGTAATGTATGTAGTTAACAAATCTGATTCTGGCCCTTCACATGTGAAAACAAACAATTCAGAAAAAAGGAGACACCAGAGACACGATGATAACAGAATTCAGAAATACCTCCAGTGGACCAGTACTAATGAGATGAGCTGGAGTGTAGAGGGAAGGGAGCAGTGCACACTACAGAAACCCTGTGTTTCTGTAGTGCATCACCCTGATTACAGGCAGATGCAGTCCAGGGCTCTGTAACACAGTGGCTGAAGTGAGGACAGCACACCAAAGCTGAAAACATCTATCAGCTTCCAACTGTGGCTGTCATACAGACTACTAAAGTTCATAAAATTCCTATCTGCAGGGGACCATTTGCTCATAAAATAAATTGTCAGCCCTCCAGAACTGATGCATTTTACTGTATTTAAGGCAAACTGCATCAGAGGGGTCCTTGCTGGAGAGGGCGGCCACAGAGCCGACATTCCCCATGCGCACGTCCGCAGGCGCACCCAGAGGAGTGTGAGGCAGGAGCCCTGAGAGCTCCCGGAGCAGCAGATGTACCATATGCTGTAACAGATGCCACATACAACGTCCTTGGGATGCCTCCCATATAGCAGGAGAGCAGTGACTGCCTGGGATGAAAAGAGATGCGGAGAAGGATTGAAAAGTGAATCAGCTGAATAATGATGGCAGGCAAAGGAAAAAAGCAAAAGGAACAAAGGACAGGCAGTGAAATATGATGATCAGCCTTGCAGAGCCATCTGGCAGCCCCCCCACGCTCTGTGCTCAGCTCTGCTTTATTTGTCAGTGACAAGTGGGAGATGCTGCAGGGGTAAACCTGAGTGAGTGGGAGCTGAACGGCACGTGACAAAACAAAGCCACAGCTCTGCTCTTCAAGACTCCTTGCTGCATATGAGGAGCGCTGTGGGTGAGGGAAGACCTGAATCCAGGTGGTCTTGTGTCACTGGCCCTCCTCCAAGAAAGAATACAAAGGGCTTGATTGTCAGCATAAAAGAAATAAAGCAGGGAAAAATTTTCAATTTCCATTGCAGTCACCTGACAGAAGGGATCATACACCTTCCCTGAAGCCAGGTTTGACTCTGGAATTGCAGCAAATTGTAGTCAGTGCCTTCCCTCAGCTCCCGTACTTGTTTATTGACAGCCATGTGGGTCACCCACCTGGCCCACAGCTTCAGCCTCATTTCAGGGACCCACCTTGGTGACACTCCTGCATCTCAGTGTCTTCTGAAGTGTGCTTTGAATAACACAGCCTTGTAGAGGAACTTGGCACTGTTTTTAAAACAAGGAGGAGGGGGTTTCTGCTCACTTCTTGTGCCAAGCCTTTCTCTTTAGGCGAAACCTATCTGGAAAGACCTCCTCTCCAGGTCCACAAAGGAGAAGGTTCAAACAAAAAGATGGAGAATCACTCTGCAAAGTACTCCTGAAATGCTTTTTTTGTAAATGTTGAACAAATACCCAGTGGTTCACCTGCCTCTTGCCTGCCTGGAAATATATCAAGGAGGCATCTGTAAAAGGCAGCGAACACGTCTTGGGTGTGGATCAGGAAAAGCTGCTCAGCACAGTACATTTATGTAAGAAGGGGCCAAAAAGAGGTGGTACTTCCCCTGGATCAAGATGCCAAAGAGATGAAGAGAAGTGCAACAGATGGAGCAAGTTTGAAACAGACAACAGCAGATCATATCCTAAAATATTTTCATTAATCATTGCTAAGAATTTCAAAGCAAAAGCTCATGGAAAATAATTAGTGCCAGGGGAAAGCTGTTTCTCAGTCACACACTTTTTTCCCTATAAACATATATTGATATCTCTCTTTCTAAAGAGATTATGGTGTGAGGTGTAGGAGTGCTGCAATTATGAAACAGTGAAATAGAGATTGTCCTTTCTGCCCAGCTAAGGCATCCCTGTTCAGACAATTCAGCCCTGAAGCAGCACAGATGCCAGAGGTCAGAGTTACAGTGAGACAAAAAGAGCTCTCACTGCTGGAGAGACATACTATGTCATCCCAGCACTGAAATGAGCAGCAGGAAGGATGAAAAGGGAGTGGGAAAGTGAGGAGTCACAGATTAGCTTTTGGAAGTATTAAAATAACAGAGAAGAAAAGTCTTGTATGTCTTCCTCCTAGTTCGCAAGTTGTGTTTTGACTTCCTGTCCTCTAGAAGTTACTATCTTTTCACCTTATGTCTGTTGAGAAAAGGTGATGAGTGAAAGGAAATTAGGAGACAGCCACTAGAAGTAAGCATTATGTCTTCAAAGCAAGTCCTTTTCCTCATAAGGATCAATGTACTATATTTTCATATGCCTGGTAGGAAGCCATTATGAGTTGCAAAAGACTGTAAAGAATAACATCTGAAATTATCTAACTTACAAGTTAGATGGAGCTTCTCTCTCAACAGTCTGCTAGGCTGAGGGGTGGGAAGGTGCTACTTCAGGGAAGTGAACATCCCTTCATTTAAGACATGTAGAGATAGATTTCATAAAACACTAAAGACTGAACTGGAAGAAACAATCCTGCCCTTGTGCCAAAGGTATGGATTTGTCAAGCAAATCTGGCACTGAGACATTTACAGATCCCAGTAACACTATCTGTCAGTATGTCCTTTTCCTCTAACCCATTCATGAAGAGCTCCCTAGTCTTTCATTTCTCCAGCTGTCCTTCAGAGGAGTGATCTCTTCCACATATATTCTGACTGCCTGTGAAAACATACCCCACTTTTTTCTTTTGATATGTACTCCTACACAAACTAAGCTGGCCAGCTTTCTCAGTGGATTATTTTCCTCTTTCCACTGTTTGATTCTCATTGAAGATTTTTGACCCTTTCATATGTGCCTTTCACTGCTCTGCAGCTGTCTTTGCTCTGAGTGCTCAAGCAAAGCGTTGCATCCCTTGTCCAGGGAGATGCAGGGTATACAGTGTGTTTGGCTAGAGCACCAGGACGGGATGTACCACCATAGAAGCGGGCAAAACCAGCCCCATGAATGCACAAATGACACAGCTCTTCAGCAACTAGAACAAGCAGTTTCCATTTCGAGCCTGGGATGGTAAGACTTCACCTGCCTTACTGTAAAACCGCAGGAGCACACTGAGTTTCTTTGCTGTTGCCATAGTGACCTCTCCTAAAAGACTGTCTCCTTAGAGAGAGAAGGTCAGCTAATGCAGCATTAAGCAGTGAGTTTTGTTTCTCACTAGTCATAAATGAACCTTCATAAGCTTCACAGAGGCACATATGCTCCTGAGAATGCATTTCTTAGCTCCAAATTAAGCTTTGCTTATAATTTGAAGACTGCAATAAAATTTTGTCATCAGAAAATCAGGGTTTTCCATGTTCGTATTAGGAGCTATTTACTTTGAAATAATTAGCAGAGAGAACAGTTGTTTTATTAGGTCTGTGAATTTCTATCAGAATGATGGGGTTTTGGATAACACATGAGCTTGGAAACGTTCTGTTATGCCCTCAGGGCAATATAAATCCCTCAGAGGAAATAATGCAGCACTGGAAGAACATGGTAATGAGGTAAGGCAAACAGAAACAAAAGATAATTTCATTAGAGAATATGCCTAGACAAAATGCACATCAAAGCAAAGTAAAATGAAGACTATAAACTGACTTTCAGTTTATTATTTTTACCTTCCCATAAATCCACTGTCTGGAAAATATCTGTTGTTCTTACTCCGTATATTTCAGCAGCTTTTAAGAACTGAGATATTTGTTCCATCTGCTTGAAAGCCATTTTTGATTCAGAGATCTTTGCAATAGGCTCGTTTCCCTTTGGATGCAAACTGTTTATTAACTTGCATAACAGCTGAGAGATAAAGACAGAAACAAAATTAGAAAGCAGGCACTGAACTAGAAGGCAATTTCTGCACATGAAATGATGTTGCAAAATGCTTTTGATCTGGCCAGTTTCCGTTAGGGACATAATTTCTTCAGTTAAAAACAAAAAAGGAAATTGATAATAATCAAAGTATATTAGAAAAGCATTAAAGCTTTCATTAACTGAGGCAAAAGCATAACCATATAAATCCTAATCTGCTAGAAACAACAAAGCAATCATTGGTGGAGGTTATATAACAACTGACAGAGAAGAAGCCTAATGCCCAAGCCAAAAAATAAGCAATATCAACTGAAATGTTATTAAAGTCACTTTGGCAGAGATTCAATGACTAGCATGGTCTTACAGCCACTGCAAACAGCAGCATCTACCTGTTGTTCAATAAAGCAATGGAAAAAAATATTTTAGCTACAGAATTATTCCCAAGAAGACAGTTATGACACAATCCTATCCTTCAAATGTGCTATATCTCTTTGCCTTTCCTTGTCAACACTGATTATTTCTTTAAGATAAAAGTATACATCTTGCTTTAAAAAAAAAGATCTCATTTAACTGCATGAGAGAAAAAGCTGAAGGAATGAGTCATACTTATATATAAAACATGCATGACTCATAAGAATCATAAATATTGTACTGATCTCAGTGCACTAGCAGGATAATTTACATTCTGAGATAAAGACTCTTGGTCAAAAGGAAATAAATCAGATACTAAGACATATATTTCTGCACTGACCATGAGCTCTGATCAATTTATCTAAATGAAGACAGAACACAGGAGCACTGTGCAAATAAAAACATGAAAGTGGGCAATTGGACAAAACTCACTGTTCCATCCATCAACCAGGTCTGAAAATGTTGCCTTCCAGGAGGAGGGTGCTCTATCTGTTCTCCACACTGCACAATAATCCAGTTCACCAGCTTAGACTCTAATTCTGCGTCGTATTTCTGTTCAATCTTTTCCTGAACTTCTCGGCTTAAGCCATAGCTTGGTCCTCTGTTAGCCATCTCTGGAAACAAGGGAGGACTTACTCAGGGGGCACAGTCCCAGTCCACACCTTTGAAGTATGCACAGGAAAATTAAAGGATAAAAGACTGAGCAGCCTGCCCTAAATGTTAGACAGTTGAACAGATGTTCATCAACACTGCAAGTAACTGTATGGCACTGGGTTATAGCTCCACAGAACAGGGGAGGGATCAACGAGGGAATATCCTTTTCCAAAAGCACAAATCAGCTACATCTTTTTTTAAAAGGAAGGAAAAAACCAGCAGTCCCCCCTGCTCAACCACAAAAACAGAAAAAAGCAAGATTTAAAACACAGTAGGTTTTAAAGAGAAGATTCTGCTATGTTTACAGAGAATACAATAGGGTTGTCAGATCAATGTTACAGCAGCCTGCAAATCCAAAAGCACTTTAAAATTGCCTACCTAATACTTGATAATAAGAAGAAGGTTGTGCATGGGAGCTCAAGCAATCCAATTAAAGATGCAGTCAGTCTTCCTTAGCAGAGATGCAAGGATGGATATCCAGAAACCAGCACACTGAAAAGCGAAGATGAATTTAAGAGACGAAGGCTGCCACAATGCCCTGCTGCTGCTGCAGCATCGTGGTTTGAAGAACAGTGTATTGATTTGATTTTCCTCACATATGAGAAGGGTCAGAGCAGGGGCGTTGCTAAGAGCCATTAAAGAGACCTGCCTCCTCAGTCACAGCCCAGGGATCCTGTTTATCTCTCCCATCTGTGGTCTGTTTTCATGCATCTTTCCTCAGCCTTGCGCTGCTCACCCCACCAGCTCAGATTTACTCCACCTAGTCTGCATCAACCCAAATTGCAGCAAGCATCCCTCTAACAGATAGGCAGAAACACAAATAGAGGCACTCTGTTAAATGCATGTGACAGATATTACCACACATCTAGTTTATTTTTTGTCATAAGCCAGAAACAAACCTTTTTTTCTCCCTGTTCTGCACCTCAGTAACAGGATGAGAGTGCGACAAATAATTTTTCCTCTTCCCTGTTCAAACACTGATAAAAAGTTTGAACAAGGGGACAAGAGGATGAAAAATAAGGAAGAGAAAGCAGATAGTAGAATTTATTATTATTTTTATCATTTTATAATAATTTTATATTATTATTATTTTAATTGATTTATTATAGATAGTAGATACTATTATCGCCCTCTCATCAATATATATTAGGCTATCAAATAGTGGAATGGTGTCCTGAGAAACAACTCAAAAACCAGTGAAACCACTGAAAAGTAGCAAACCTACTATAAAGCACAAGGATTTTATTTTCTGCTGCTATGAGTCAGCTCACCTCCAGCAATATAAAGAGAGCTATGCCCATGTAGAGTCGTTTAAATTTTGATTATACCACTCATACAATGTGGAAGGGGAGAGAAGAGTTAAGACGAGACTTTTCTTGCAGTCTGATTTAATCCTATATTAAATAAAATCACTTTGCTTCTTTCCAAGCTACGCAAGACTGTAAAATATCTTTCATTCATGCTGTATTCTCCACCCTAATAGGAAATAGTTTCCTTTTAGCAAATGATTCATGTTCAGCTTGACATGCAAGGAGGTTGATAAACCCAAGATGGATACATAATCAGTTTGGTAAACAAAAGTCCTGCTGCTTTATTCAGAAAGGAAAAAAAAAGGGGGGAAAGCAATACAGCTCCATGTATATCTGTTTCATAATGAGCTCTTCATCCATTACTTTCTCATTTTAAGATTCTGAATTCTCAGACTTATACTGCTTCTGATGCTACTGGGCTTGAAGAGACCCAAGAGATGAAAAATTTAATAGATTACCTAATTCACTGTTGTCCTCCACAGGCATTTCATTTAGTGCTTTCTCTTCTCTGCACTGGTAGTTCTAAACCCCTATGAAGCACTTGATTACATAACTCAGAGCATGCTACGTGACAGGGCCACCACTTGAGCACTTTCTGTCTCAGTGAGCACGGGGCTGAAGGCACAGCGGATGCGCAGGAACCGAGGCTGCAAGCCCAGCCTGGAGATCAGAGAAGTAACAGGCTGCAACAGGAAGAGGCAGAATTTGACATCCCTTCCCTTCAAGCAGCTGTTAAGAAGGAACCGAGGCTGCAAGCCCAGCCTGGAGATCAGAGAAGTAACAGGCTGCAGCTGCAACAGGAAAAGGCAGAATTTGACATCCTTTCCCTTCAAGCAGCTGTTAAGGGCTGGGCTTCACACTCTTTGGCCAGTGGCACAGCCAATAAGCTTTATTTTGCACTTCCAGATCTTTTTGTGTTCTTCTGTTTAGAAGGGAGCTACCTAGGGTGCCTGGCTGTTTCTGGTCAGACCAGGGGGCTCAGTGCTCCTTGGCAACAAGATTTTGTGAAAGTCACCTACCTTTGCCTGTTTCCTAACTTGGAGGCAGGGATGAGTAATTTAACTCTCCGAAGCTGCAGAGCAGAGGTCTCCCACTTCACAGATGTTGGCTGTGCAACCTGTTCTCGAGGGACCAGTCCACACTGGGAAAGCTGAAAAGCTTGCCCATCAATATAAATTTTTAATAAGGCTTTGAAAAACTGGGAAACCGCAGGTACCACTAAACAAATCATAAGCCTGCTTTCTGTGTCATCAATCCTGGGGAAAACAATAGAATAATTTTTTTTTTCAAGTGATAATGTTGATGCAATTTACTAAATGCTCTGTAATATATTAGAGTTGGCTACTCCATGACATGTTGATTCTAATATAAAGCTGGCTAACTAGTCAATCCTGTAATATGATTGTAACTGAAAAATCATTAATGATGGTGTATATTTTATTCAGTTTGTACAAAAATATGTTCTCAGGCCTGAACTAGTTAATGTTATTAGAAGTCAACAAAAACCCCTCGGGCTCCTAAGAAGATCCCAGCTCATGTGAGTGTGGGGGTACCAGTTCTTGGTTTCTCTGGGCCTGGACTGAAGGCACTTGAGACAGCAGTTCATGTTTGGACTCAGGTGTTTATTATTTCTTATCAGTAAAGCAGTGAAAACTGTGAGAGGGTACCAGCTGTCGGTTTCTCTGGGCCTGGACTGAAGGCACTTGAGACAGCAGTTCATGTTTGGACTCAGGTGTTTATTATTTCTTATCAGTAAAACAGTGAAAACTGTGAGTTCGGCAGCTTTTCATTAGAAGGCACAAAATGGCTAACTATCTCTTGTTAAAAGGTCTTTTAAGACTAAACTATCCAATTAAGAAAGGACATCTAGGTTATTTTCCCTTTTAACCCAATAACTGATCCCAAAGAGCCCGCAATGTGAACTTTTCTGCCCAATTACAAAATGCCACCAAAACCCATGAAGAAGAAGGAAGAAGAAGCATGAAGAAGAAACCCAGGACGACACCCTGTGCCCTCCATCTTGCTTCCATTCACAACATACTAAAAAGTGCATTTCTCTGCTTTTGGAATAGCATTTCTGTGCTTCTGGAAGAGCATTTCTGTGCTCTTCTGTGCATTTCTCTGCTTTTGGAATAGCATTTCTGTGCTTCTGGAAGAGCATTTCTGTGCTCTTCTGTGCATTTCTCTGCTTTTGGAATAGCATTTCTGTGCTTCTGGAAGAGCATTTCTGTGCTCTTCTGTGCATTTCTCTGCTTTTGGAATAGCATTTCTGTGCTTCTGGAAGAGCATTTCTGTGCTCTTCTGTGCATTTCTCTGCTTTTGGAATAGCATTTCTGTGCTTCTGGAAGAGCATTTCTGTGCTCTTCTGTGCATTTCTCTGCTTTTGGAATAGCATTTCTGTGCTTCTGGAAGAGCATTTCTGTGCTCTTCTGTGCATTTCTCTGCTTTTGGAATAGCATTTCTGTGCTTCTGGAAGAGCATTTCTGTGCTCTTCTGTGCATTTCTCTGCTTTTGGAATAGCATTTCTGTGCTTCTGGAAGAGCATTTCTGTGCTCTTCTGTGCATTTCTCTGCTTTTGGAATAGCATTTCTGTGCTTCTGGAAGAGCATTTCTGTGCTCTTCTGTGCATTTCTCTGCTTTTGGAATAGCATTTCTGTGCTTCTGGAAGAGCATTTCTGTGCTCTTCTGTGCATTTCTCTGCTTTTGGAATAGCATTTCTGTGCTTCTGGAAGAGCATTTCTGTGCTCTTCTGTGCATTTCTCTGCTTTTGGAATAGCATTTCTGTGCTTCTGGAAGAGCATTTCTGTGCTCTTCTGTGCATTTCTCTGCTTTTGGAATAGCATTTCTGTGCTTCTGGAAGAGCATTTCTGTGCTCTTCTGTGCATTTCTCTGCTTTTGGAATAGCATTTCTGTGCTTCTGGAAGAGCATTTCTGTGCTCTTCTGTGCATTTCTCTGCTTTTGGAATAGCATTTCTGTGCTTCTGGAAGAGCATTTCTGTGCTCTTCTGTGCATTTCTCTGCTTTTGGAATAGCATTTCTGTGCTTCTGGAAGAGCATTTCTGTGCTCTTCTGTGCATTTCTCTGCTTTTGGAATAGCATTTCTGTGCTTCTGGAAGAGCATTTCTGTGCTCTTCTGTGCATTTCTCTGCTTTTGGAATAGCATTTCTGTGCTTCTGGAAGAGCATTTCTGTGCTCTTCTGTGCATTTCTCTGCTTTTGGAATAGCATTTCTGTGCTTCTGGAAGAGCATTTCTGTGCTCTTCTGTGCATTTCTCTGCTTTTGGAATAGCATTTCTGTGCTTCTGGAAGAGCATTTCTGTGCTCTTCTGTGCATTTCTCTGCTTTTGGAATAGCATTTCTGTGCTTCTGGAAGAGCATTTCTGTGCTCTTCTGTGCATTTCTCTGCTTTTGGAATAGCATTTCTGTGCTTCTGGAAGAGCATTTCTGTGCTCTTCTGTGCATTTCTCTGCTTTTGGAATAGCATTTCTGTGCTTCTGGAAGAGCATTTCTGTGCTCTTCTGTGCATTTCTCTGCTTTTGGAATAGCATTTCTGTGCTTCTGGAAGAGCATTTCTGTGCTCTTCTGTGCATTTCTCTGCTTTTGGAATAGCATTTCTGTGCTTCTGGAAGAGCATTTCTGTGCTCTTCTGTGCATTTCTCTGCTTTTGGAATAGCATTTCTGTGCTTCTGGAAGAGCATTTCTGTGCTCTTCTGTGCATTTCTCTGCTTTTGGAATAGCATTTCTGTGCTTCTGGAAGAGCATTTCTGTGCTCTTCTGTGCATTTCTCTGCTTTTGGAATAGCATTTCTGTGCTTCTGGAAGAGCATTTCTGTGCTCTTCTGTGCATTTCTCTGCTTTTGGAATAGCATTTCTGTGCTTCTGGAAGAGCATTTCTGTGCTCTTCTGTGCATTTCTCTGCTTTTGGAATAGCATTTCTGTGCTTCTGGAAGAGCATTTCTGTGCTCTTCTGTGCATTTCTCTGCTTTTGGAATAGCATTTCTGTGCTTCTGGAAGAGCATTTCTGTGCTCTTCTGTGCATTTCTCTGCTTTTGGAAGAGCATTTCTGTGCTTCTGGAAGAGCATTTCTGTGCTCTTCTGTGCATTTCTCTGCTTTTGGAAGAGCATTTCTGTGCTTCTGGAAGAGCATTTCTGTGCTCTTCTGTGCATTTCTCTGCTTTTGGAAGAGCATTTCTGTGCTTCTGGAAGAGCATTTCTGTGCTCTTCTGTGCATTTCTCTGCTTTTGGAATAGCATTTCTGTGCTTCTGGAAGAGCATTTCTGTGCTCTTCTGTGAATTTCTCTTCTGGGACATGTTGTGTGGGAGTCCTGGGGTAACAGTGCTGACGGGAAGCAGCACCGAAGGCAGGCAAGCAGACAGACAATAAAGAGGCTCCTTTTCCTTTCATGAGCTCTCATCCCCCGTGGCAGGTTTATAACAGTTGACTCCAGCAGAGCTGGGC